TTATTTAAAAAACCTTAATTTTAACAGTTATTTTTTAAACATTTTAAACACTTTGACACCTTTTTAAATCTCTGACATTATCTTTAAAGAAGAAAACCAACGACAGACTCTGGTTGTTTGCTACCATCCACCTACGGAGGCGTTCACGTCGCCTCAGGTGGAGGTGTTCAGCAGCTCTGCACCGTCTCTTGGCTTTGTTGCACATATTAGGGCAGGAAAACTTAAACTGTCGTACTGAAGCTACGGTTGAAACTGACCCATGTGGTGGACTAAACATCAAGCTGATGGTCGGGCTGTGAGCAGGACGTTGTGAATGAAGCAGCTCCTCATCGGGACTCTTCTGTCGTTACCTTCTGTCGCTGTCCTCGCTCCAGCCGAGTGGCGTCCATCTTTGTGGTCTGCTGGTGATGAACACCCGCCTTCCTGTCAGACGGGCTGGACGCTGCAGGCTCTCTGTCCTGTCTGATAAATCCAGTTACATGCACTTAAAGAGAAGGATCAGTTTGGTAGGAATTACTGGGAACCCACTGGGACTGAGCTGCATCGGTCCTGTTAGCACAGGGCTGGATGACTTTAGAACATCCAGCTTAGCTTCAAGCAACTTATTTGTGACCTGACATCTAATCAGATTATATAATCAGAAAACTCCAGTGTTGAACTTAAAGTATTTGCAGTCGAGGTTTCTGCACCGTCTCTCACATCCATGCACACACTGTGATGTTTCAACCCTCTGTATGGATGTAGGATCTAACACAGGTCATTATATCCACGTTCAACACATGCAGCATCGTTTCATTAGCTTATCTGTATTTCCTCTCTCAGACATGAGCACAGACCTTCACATGTATTGAACAAACAGAAACAAACAGAAAGTCAGAGCTGCAGACTGGAAGATGCAGCTCGACCCCTACATCCTGGAGCCGAACCACAAGGTGGAGACAGAGACCGTTATCTGAAGCCCCTCCAGGCCCTGAGGAGGCGTACAGATGGAGCCCATGTTATCAGTCGCCTGGTAATCATAGAATTTGCCCCGAGTAGAAGCTTAAGAAGCATCAGAGAGCCAGGCAGCAGACGCTCCACTGGTTTCAGGACACTCAGGTGAGGTGCTGGACTTCACACTGTGAAACATCTGATGCACTCCATTATCCTTGCAGAGGATCTGATCTGGTCTTAAGCTGCCCGTCGGGTCGAGACAGCAGCGCTCAAAGCGACTGTAGATCCAGACAAACTACGGAGGTGATAGAAAACCAAACAACAAGCAGGATGTACTGCAAGCATCTGTGTCAGGTGACCAGTCCTTTTGATACACATTTTATTAAAAGCTATAGACAACAAAACACTTCTGGTCAAAGTACAACAACAAATCATCTCAGAATAAATATGTGAAGCTGCATCGCTGCCCCGTACGGAGACGCCACGTGGACATCGTCACGCTTCACTTACGCACATTTAAGCCAAAAACTAAAACGTAATCCTGTGATGTCATGAGCACAAGATAAGCGGCCAGTCAGAGAGCGATGGTACACAACGGTCACAGTCCAACAGAACCACGTCTCTGGATCATGAGAGGGGAAACATCCTGATCCTCGAAGCCTCAGTGATCTTTGTATCACGGGTTTATGCGGTCTGTGACATCACACGCGTGTGCAGCAGACATCTGTTTTCCATACTCTGACATACATTTAGTATTCATGGAAGTCTCTCCGCCTCCTTGCAGAGCTGCTGTCCATCTCATGCAGGAGGCTGACCCATAACCCTGAACGGGCCGTACACCACTGATGAGTGAGGAATTAGCTCTGGAGTTCCAACAGTTAAAAGCAGGACTGCCAAATCTTATAAAACCTCAGAAACTGCAAATGAGTTTTAGAACGATCGCTCAGTGAGGAGAGGATGTCTGTACCGACAGATGGAAATAAAGATGTGTTCGTCTCTATACGAGCTTTTACTAATAAACCGTCTGAAATGATTCACCTGCAGAGGGAGGCGACTGGACGCTACGTGTGAAACTAAACGAGCTTCTGGTACATTCAATAATAGGTTTACGTAAGAATAACAACCTGCAGGACGGGAAGAGCTAAAGTGGCAGCATTATTACTATCATGTTCACGTCACACACTGGACACACTCACTATGAGGAAAAGGAAAAGCCTCCGTATGCTTCATGGCTACAGATAATTCTCTTGATTATTTTTTAAACCTTCTGAGCACTCAGCTTATGTCCTGAAACGTGTTAATGATTTTAACCCATTAGCTTGTTTCATTGGACAAACCAAACACAACCCAGATGTTTATCGTCGTATTCGACAAACGAGCTGCAGCGGATGAATAAATCATAAACTGGGCTGCAGAATAATTGATCAGATTCCTGTTAATCAATGAATCATTGCAGCACCAGCAGCAGTTCTACAGTTTGTTAACAAATGAAACGTCGGTGCTCATTTTAATTACAAACACTCTGAACAAAAAGCAGCTTTGATCTAAAGTGTTGTAAATTAATTTCTCATTTCTTAATATTAACTTCAAAATCAGCAAAGTTAAACGATGACGCTTTCTAATTAAAACGTGGGCTCAGGATGTTCCTATCAGCTCCAGGTGCTGTGAGAGAAGCAGGTTTCATATCATCACACACTCATGTTTCTAACTGTGATATGATGATAAGGAACGTCGCGTTCGTCCGTCTGCTCCACAACACTTTACATTCAGACGTATCCCCGGTCGGTCCGGGATCCGTCCCGTTAGAAACTAAACTGTACAACAGTCGTAGTATTTCGCTCGCTGCTATTTTCAGACATTCATATGAAGCTCCTTCCTTCAGAAGGAGCGGTGAAGAAGGAGAGACGCTTTCCTCAGATGGAGGTGTAGTGTCTCCCAAAGCTGGTGAGTCTGATCTTCTCCGGCAGGATGATGTTCACCGAGTGCTCCGGCTCTTCCTGGCTCGTGCCGCCAGCTTCTCTCAGCAGGTGTTCCCTCTGCTGCCGAACAAGCTGGCTGTACTTGGCGTTGGCCAGCCACGCCTCGCAGCGGCCAAAAAACACGATGCCGGTGGTGCCCAGGATGACCAGGCAGGTGAGCAGCGCCAGCATGCCGAAGCAGACCAGCTGACCGTGGGTGACCAGGACGCCGGACGAGTGCACCGTTTCCTTCAGGGTGATCTTGAGCAGGTCCCTCTCGGGGGGCCTGAGGAGCTTGTGGAAGGCGTGAGCGGGGAGGGAGTAGTGCTGCGGCGTCAGGGCGAACACCCGGTGGTCGGCGGGCCTGGCGCCCACCGGCTTGGACCGGGCCTTCGGTCTGTGCTGCAGGGAGCACGTGGGACCCGTAAACCATTTCTGGCAAACGCACCGGAAGGTTCCGTCAGGCTGACCGACGCAGGCGCCCTCGTTGGCGCAGGGCCGGCCGGCGCAGGCAGACAGGCTGCTGGTGTCGTTGCAGGTGAAGCCGGTGAAGCCGCGTGGGCAGGAGCACGTGAAGGCCAGGCCGTGGCTGGTGCAGTTGCCACCGTTGAGGCAGGGGTTCGGCTGGCAGCTGTCAACGGCCATCTCACAGAAGTCTCCGGAAAATCCAGGGGGACACAAACAGGAAGAGCGGACCGCTGAGCCGTCGGCATCCATACATGTGCCTCCGTTCTGACAAGGAGAGCTGGAGGACAGAGCGGCACAGTGTGAGCAGACAGCAGGAAACAGGCCGTCCTGACTGGTACACACTCTATCCTGGGTTATAAAGACAAGCAGCGACCTGATGGGTTCAATCATATGAATGTAGATTTGTAAAGGTCGGCGTTAATGCGCTGTGTCTTAATTCATCATTCATATGGTCCCTCAGGACATCTTTTAAACTGAACATCACTGAATAGAAGGTGTCTGCTGATGTAAACTCCTTTTGCTTGCATGCAGAAACAAATGGTGATGTTGGACAGAAGCTCATTTCTAAAGCTGAATGAACTCTTTAAAAACCCACTGAATGAGCAGAAACATGTAAAACCTTCATCAGCTCAGAGACTGGATTGAGTTTATAGAGAACATCAGTTCATGATCAGAAACCTTCTTTCATGTTGGGAAATAAAAGGCCGGTCTTCTTTTTATTCACCTCAGTAGCCTTCAAGCTTATATTCTTAAGGTAGGTCAGACTCTAACAAAAACTCCTACTCTTAATTATTTAGCTTTATTTTTAGACGTCGGCTCTCAGAGGTCGCCTGCAGACGCTTCATCTGTCAGGACAGAGACGTGTTGGTTGGAGGAAGCAGAGCAGCAGATAGTTTTATTTATCTGATCAACTTTAACTCTGGTGCCACAAATCATTATCAAAGCTGCTTCAAATTAGGTTTGACACCCAGAATAACTTCCTCCTCCTCACGTCTGCACCGCAGAGAAAACAGCTCGTTATCGTTTGACCAACTTTTTGATTTGTTTTATTAAATCGTGCCACGTGAAGAAGCTCAACTGTTATTATTAGTTTTGATTAAAGAGGACAAAAGCACATGTTACACACATATCTACACTCCATCAAGCAGTCACACAACATGGTTGTTAAAATGAATGATGTGAAGTAATTTATCATTAAAAACTAACACAGCTTCTTATTTTATTTTATCTTTTTATCGGCAAAACTAAACCTGACCTGATTCCAGTGAACATGGACTTAATATCTAAATGAAATGCAGCTGCTGTGTTGTGATAAATGCACATCAGGATGATACTGGACTGCAACCAGTGCTTATCTAATTATCTGTTAATCTGCTGGTTATGCTCCTGATTAATGGCTTTTTCCACTGGACAGCAACAGAGACCCACTAAAGCTGCCTGTCTGACTGAACAACACCTAAACACATTCACTTTAATATTACTGGACAAATAAAAGCAGCCTCCCAGCTGAGAGGCTTAAACTATCGTAATAATTCCACATTTACTGAATTAATTGATCATCAAAATACCTGCCAGCGATCGATTGAGCTGCTAATTGCTCCACACCTAGAGTGACGCTGATCGGTATTGTGATATCGATTTCAGACTCGTCTTCCTGCGCTAATGAAAAACGGCGTGGCTCATCCTCCGCAAATTAAAAATCTGTAGCGCTAACAAGATATGAGCGAAGCCTCGGCGTTGAATCTGCAGTAACGCGTCTGCAGCCACATCTGATCAGAGCAGCTCCACAAAGTGCACGCGCTGATGAACGGATAAGAAGTAATCAATAACTCCAACAGTGGCTCGTGTAATTACACAAGTCCCTAACACCCAGTCTCTGGGAGTCAAAAGAATAATAGCGCTGGCATCCTTTCCAGACATCTCTGGTGCCTCATACAGGAGCTGATTAATGAAATCTCATGCAGGCCTTTTAATGGAGATGAATTCCCCCAGAACACCGGCGGAGCTCCCGTCGCCTCACTGTGAAAATTAGACCCCGATGATTATACTGTGGGAGGAGGAGGAGAGCTGAGGATTCGCTAGCAACTGATCCGTAGGCTATTGAATTTGAGGTATTTCATTCAAGTCAATAACAGGCTGCTGGATGGAGAACAGACAGGGTGGGCTTCAGAAGGAGGCCGGCTCTGCCTGCATCCCCAGAGAGCAGGAGGAGGATTGTTCAGAGGATCCGTCCTGTCGGGGATCCAGGAGCAGACGGCTTAAAGCGATGCTCATACGACAAAACATTCTCATCACTTGTTCTACCAGTTTGCCAGAACCTCGTATTTCGAGAGCTCGTTACGCTTCGGCGGCGTGCCAGCTCTGGCAGGACGCTTCGAAGGTCGTTTCCTTCAGAGGACCTGAAGGCCTGCTGCCTCCAAACGAACATGAAATTAATGAAGCATTCAGGAGTTGAAGTAAAACATCTCCAGGAATTTGCCCTCGAATGGTTTAAATAGTGTTAAAAGATAAAAGTGGTTCGTTTGCTTTCACGTCAATGTTGAAGCTCTGCAGCAACTCGTCGGCTCTCCAAACAGATAAACGGAGTTATTCAAGCTCGTTACCAGTTTTTACATTCAGGAGTTCCTTTAGTGATTAGTCCAGTCCAGACTGGGAGTGCTGGGATGTTTCATCGTATTCTAAATAAAATGTTCCAGCTTTAGTGTGAGCGGGTTTACATCAGTTTAAAAAGAAAATGAGTGAGAATAAAACCCGTTTAGCACATTAAACTCAAAGTTTAGGCGTCTAAAGTAGCTGGAGATAAAGTAAAACTTAACAGAAAGCCGTTTGCAGTCCGTTAAGTCTTCGATCCACAGACATCGGCCGGCGCTTCGTCTCCTCCCTGGTGATGCTCTCCCAGGTCTTCACCACAACCAGCTTCGTTGTTTGGTGTTCACAAGGTGGAACCCAACCGCATCCCGTCAGGATCAGCCGACTGAATCCATCCGTTAAAGATATTCAGCCTGTTAGCTCCGGATGGCCGTCCTCCTGAACCGGGCCAGCTAGCCAACGTGTTGTGCGTCAGGCTAAATCTGAGCACACACAGGCGGCTCTGTTGACGCCGTGTTTGTGCTAAATCCTCCGAGGCTGTGGTCCTGAGTTTCTCTTTTGATGGTTGACGGGGAAACAGAGCGCTCTTGGCTCGCTGTGCAAACGCAGCCGTGCATGTCTTCATCATGCAAATCATCTTCCATGTCATTCACATGACAGCTTCCTGAGCAGAACCCAAACGCTGGTTCTGCTCCACTGAGATCTCTGCTGCATGTTATCTTTTTGCTGTCGTGTCGGCTCCTATGAGCAGAAACATTAGATAACATCCAACTATTTAAGGATTCTTGGGCAGCTGAGTACTTTTGGACCTTTGCAATATGATAACAGAACCGTGCTGATGTAAACCTGCTCAGATTAAAGCTGAGGTTTGCCACTAGATATACTATTCCGTGTTTTTTTTAACTTCAAATCACATTTGCTGAAGCACCGACCCTGAAGAGGAGAAGGACTGTAGCTGTACAGACCGGTGGTGTAGATGGTACATCAGGGTGACTGATGACCTCCTGGAGGCTGAACTCTGCTGACGATGTGGCGGTGATACGGCGCTCTGCTGTGATGTGGGACACCAGGACACGTCTGAATGTGCCGTTAAATTCTGGTCCTGGATGCTGACGGACGTAAAGAACACATCAGTGTCCTCCAGCTGGCAAAAAAATAATAAAAAGATGGTGTACGGAGGAGTTTTTGAGATGTGACAGACTTGTCAGAGGATTCTGATGCATTTGATGTTGACTTTAAAGGACGTGTGAAGTGGAGCTCATGAAGCTGTCCAGGTGGACCGATCCGGTAAAAAGGTGTCGGTCTGTGAGCGAGGGAGGAACCAGTGGACAATGAATCCACTGCAGTCGCTTCTTTTTACAGGATTCTTGTGTTTGAAAGCAAAGTTTAGAACCACAGGAATGTTTAATGCAGTTTTCTTTGGGCTCATTGAGCTCAATCCCATCAAACTCTGCTTCAGTTTTAGTTCACAGGAAATGACAACAAACCTAAAGTTCACGTTAAACCGAGGCGTCGCCGTAACACCAGGCTGCAGTTTGTTCCACCTTTAACGTCGAAGGCAGACATCTGTTATTCAGGTTCAATCATCAACGCTAACCCTGTAGCACATTGAAATCCAGGCGGTCTGAGAGGAAGTCAGACTCCTGCTGGCTCCATTTTCAGGCTTCAGAAAACTGAACCACTGTCCAGAGATTTCAGCCGATCACAGGGTTTGTCGCCAACAGGATGAGAATAAACGGCGACAAAGTCAATGAAATTATCGCAGTGAAATGAGACTTCAGGAGATTCAGGAGAGTCTGTTTGAATCCCAGGTGAGGCCACGAAGAAATGTTGGCACTCAGCTCGACTGTTCCTCCAGATGTCTGCAGCTTTAGTTTGACCTGGATTGAGTTTTTATTTTTAAATGAAGTCAGCTTTACCTTAAAAATGTCTCTGAGACTATCGAACACAGTGGAGTGTTTACGATTTTCTTTCTGAAGCTGGTAGAGACATAAAAGTGAGTGAATATTGGAGTTAAATGAACCAGGTGGCCTCTAAATGACTGATCATGTCAACAATCTGATGCTTCCTACACCTGTAAGAACAGCGAGTTCACGTCCAGCTAGCATCAGAACATCAGGACCCGACGAGCCGCTTGTTTGGTGACTATTGTGCACAACCACCACTATAATAATAATAATAATAATAATAATAATAATAATAATAATAATAATAACTGTTGTTCTGGAGCTCCACACCTCGTTTAAAAGTTTACTTTCTGATTAGTGTCTGTGGAGAGAATCAAGAGTTTGTGTTTGTTTGGCAAATTCACTGAAGCTGTCTGTATTTGTTTGTGCAGGGAAAAGCATCCCATAGTTTCTGTGCTAATTGACGCCGTTACCGGCTTCAAGCCTCGGCAATAACAAGTAAAAAGAAAGAAAGACGACAGGTGCTGCTGCTCCTAATGACAAACACATGGGTACAGGAGAGTCGTACTGCTCTAGTTAAAACAGAGGCGCTGGTACCCGTTGGTCAGGCAGAGTCCCCTCTTCAGGTGGCAGTCGTCTCCGGCGTAGCCATGGGGACAGATGCACAGGTATCCCCCCTCTCCCGTCTCTATGCAGGTGGCGTTACTAGCACAGGGCCTGGACGAGCACCGGCGAGTATCTGTGGTAAAAAAGGGAAAGACGGCATGCTGTTTTTAGATCTGCTGCTCTCTCCCTCCCTCCATGCCTCTGTGCCTGATTCTACCTCCCATCTTTGTCTCCTCTCGCTCACTACACTCCCCACAGCAGCATCTTGTCACCAAGAACAAAACTGAGAACAGAACCGCCGGCGTTACGGCGCCGATCGGCTCATATGCTCCAGCAGAATAAGAGCTGCGCCGTGTGTCGATAAGGAGGTCAAAGAGAGCCACGAGCCCAAAAAACCCAGAAGGAAAGCTTTTTTCTCTTCGTATTTCCTCTTTGTTTCTTCCTTTGCTTGAGGGGCTGCGAGTATTTCTTATGTGATCACGTTCACTGTAGATAGAAGAGGAATTATAACTACAGTCCTTCATCTGAACAGAGCGTCCACTGAAATGGAAATGTGACTTTTAGATGCCTTTAACAATCACATTTCCACAGCCTTTGATGTTTTTAAATTCATAATAAACGTCTTGATTAAAGGCGTAAATGAAGATCACAGGAGTTCATAATCGTGATGTTTGCCGTTCTGTTTCTGCGGTTCAGTCCTCTCCAGCTCTGCCTGTTTGAGCTGTGCTCTCCAGAGACCGGCTTCACGCTGCCGTGTCCCCGAAGCTCAGTGACTCACCCTGAAGTCGGCATGCCAGGAAAAGGAGGCAGATAGGAGTGTGTGGGGAGCGTAATGAGACTCACCCTGGTCACACAGGCTGCCCACCCAGCCCTCCTGGCACACGCACTGCCACGCCTTCTCACATGTGCCGTGCAGGCAGCCGGGGAAGGGCACGCACCGGTCACAGTTGTCCCCCTGCCACCCCGGTTTGCACCTGAAAGAGGAGGGACAAGAACAATCCTGGACTATTAATATACCACCCACAGAGCTGCAGCAGCAGCCGGCGCTGCTCCGGTCTGCATCACATCTGCATCACATCTGCATGCTTTGGCTCCTGAAGTGAAATCAAACCACTGAAGTGACCTCTGATGAAGCAGTAACTGGTTAAACTCTGTAAACGCTCCACAGTGACAGAATGCATTTGTGCTCAAGCTTTCACCAACATTTCAAAGCGGGCAGAGAAGCCTATCTGTTCGGATAACAGTGATTTTTACTGATCAAACAAATGACTGACTTGGCAGCGAACACAACACGGGCGCCAAACAAAATGTAGAAACAAAACAGAGGGATCCAGTTGGCTGGACCGCCATCGCATTATTCTGGGGGAGGAACATTTACTGCTCTGCTGATTTATGGAAATAGGGTTGCAAAAGCCCACAGGATACAGGCTATCATCTGCACAGGAATCTGAGCCGGCTTCACTACCTGCACTTCCCCGGCTTCTCACAAAACCCATTTTCTGTATCGCACCCTGCGCTGCATTCCCAACCTGTGAGGAGACAGAGAGCAGGAGACAGCAGCATGTTGGCATCACACACAAAGACAGCAAACATTCAGAGCAATTAAATATTCATCTGATGGACTTTCTTTTCCACGTTAGGAGTAAATCTGTTGTTTTCTACATAAAGAAGACTTTGTTTTGCAGATGTGTGGCTGTGGGTTGTCTCAGCGGACTGATGCACATCTCATTACCTTTGGCGATGCCTGTCACGAGCAGAACTAAGACCACCGCTGTGAGACGCATCGTAATGTTGAGGAAGACTCTTTGTCCTGCAAACACACACACACACAGCAGGTTGAGACCTCCAGCTGTGTGGAGGAGCCACGTTTTGTTTTCCATCTAAAAATACATCTCATTATTCAAAAGTTCATTTGTACAAACAGAAACCAAACCCTGAATGGAGAAATAAAAATGATGCTCTATAGATATGGTTGAACCTGTGTGGAGCTTCTGGCTGTTTGGTTAAATATCCAACAGCAGGAGGTGGAGAAACGGTACAGCGAGCTGCTGGAGGTTAAATTTAACTATTTTAATATTTTTGGGGAGGATTTCTTTTTTTCTCATTTGAAAAAAACAAAAGCAGCCTGACGCACCTGAAGCACGCGTCTGCCTCCGGAGGTGTCCATTACGCACAGGCGAGCAGAAAAGAGAGAGAAGCCGTTCAGTTTCCTAAATCTGCACATTTAGCCTTAAAAACAACAACTCTCCAGTCAGCTGCTCACCTATGTCGCCTCGGCGCTCTGCCTCCAAGTGGCTCCGCTCATATCTCACTGGTTTTTTCTTCTTTCTTTTTTTAAAATCCAGGCGACGTGTTGTTGGAGGTGAGACCACAGGTGTACCGGAGCTCTGGCTGCTGGAGCTGCTGGACCTGGAGCTTTTGACGGGACTGCTGCATCGCGCGGCGTCCCAGCGCAGCTCGCTCCTCCCACCGTGTGAGGGAGGACGAGCGCACCAGCGACCCTCCGGAGAGGCGCGCGGCCGGTGAGCGGTCCATCAGCTGACCGGGTTCTGATGCGCACCTTGGTGAGATCTCCTAAAATCATCATTAACAGGCAGAAAACAGCTTTCTTCTCCTCATTTCTTGTTTGTACCTTTAGATTAGCCACCAGGGCCAGTATAGGACCCTGTCCAGGACCTTCATGCTGCCATGCGCAGAAGGTCTTTCTGGGTCATCTGTTGGTGTTCATTACAATTATAACATGTTGAATACATTTTCTGATGAGTTGATGTATTTTTGGCTCCAAATGCACGACACATGTCCCTCTTTTTATATTAAAAAAATATATATTCAAAAATAAAAAACAACAGCTGCCACCTGAACCAAATGGGTCCACAAGAGTCCTGAACAGGGTTAAGATCCAAATAGATACAGAACAAATGTACTGAATCAGAATCAAGCCTTTCTCTGTTATTCTGATTTCTATTCTGGTGCTGGGTTATTATCAGCAGCAGCTGAAGCTAATTGAAGAGGAGCTCATTACTTGATCATCATTTATCTTTATTATACGTTGATTGTACGTTTTGTCTGAACGTTCTGACAGAAGCTGGGCTGGCAGCCTCTAGGTGAGCATGATGATGGAAAACCAGCAGCTCTAGTCTGTGAAATGTATTCAGATATATGTGGAAAACTAAATCAACCCTGTTCATGAGCAGTGAGCTGCGTTTAGCCAGAACCGACCATCACCTGACCAAACCAATAAAACTTCAAATGCAAGAACATGGAGTCCATCATAAAGACTGAGAAAGTATTAAGAATTACTGAAGTTAAAGTAGCGCCCTGTACAAATACTCCATCACAGGTACATGTCCCCCCAAAAGAAAAACTGCTCATAAAAGTACAAAAGAGGATTCTGTTTATCATACATATTAAAATAAATCTCATTACTGATGCATTCGAGCATCGTTTCATGTTGTCACAGAGCTCAGTGTTTAGCCTGCAGCCTCATACCTCATCAATCTATGATGAGTCTGGTTTCTAAAACCTGAAGTAAGTAGTTGGACTTGGATTAAAGAGTGCAGTGCAGTAAAGTAGAAATACTCTGCAGAGTACTTCCAGTAACTGAGTACATGTCTCTCACCTTTGCGCTGCCTGAGGGAGGAAGCCAGACTCACTGTTCAAACCCATATTGAGTGACTTCCTTCCACAGCGCCTACCTGTCACACATAATAATGTCCTGCTCTATTCTTAGGCCCCTTATTGCCATCCACACTTCCCTTTATCCTTCCCAAGGGCAGCCGCCGGTGTTTTCCTCCCCACCAAGTGTACGACTTGGTCTAAGGGCCTAATTATGAGTTTCACCTCTCAGACGTTATTAGATTAGAGACACAGATCCTGAAAACGTCGGCCGAGCCGCCGCTCTGTTGCTGCTGGTGTTGAAGGAGAATCATCAGCGACAGCAAACGCTCATCATCCAGACGTCATTTAGCTTTTCTCTGAGGTCTGTTACTAACATGTCACCGTGAGGAGATGCCTTCTGGATTAAAAACAGGTGTGTGGGCTTCGGTCTAGACAGTGGGAGGCAGAGGGATACATACATGAATGCAAATAAGCAGCAAATCGATGCGTGTTTGGTTTTTCTTGAGCTGAATCGGGGCAAACGGAGTCTCCTCTGAAACAAGGGCATGCAGCTCTGAGCAGTCGGTGGAGGAGAAATGGATAAATCTCCCCAGATCTGGTGTAATCTTCTGAGGGGTCTCCAGTCTCACATCCCCCAGTTCAATCTGACCGCTGTGTTTATTTTCAAAACCTCCAGAGATGGAGCCCAGTTTAACATGACAGCGGTGATGGGATTCCCTCGGCCAAGATCCACATCAGGCGGCTCCTTTAATGAGACGCCTCGGCCTCGTGTGGGCTTTATTACAGTGGAGGAGTCATCCATGGATTAGCTTTTTCTTTTTTTCCTCCCCAGCGCTGATCTCATCTGATCTTTTATCTGTTTCAGTCCAGCGTGCTCTGGTTTAAATTGGACATTATGGATGGGAGGATGTGAGTGTGTGGATTCATGTGTGCCTGTTATAAAGTTATATCGGCTCCACGTCGAGCGCTCTGTGCATTAGAGTGTAGGCGCTATAGATGGAAGGCAGAGCTGAAGTGATCAGTCGATTGATTAGCAGAGCAGAGGAACACGGTTCAGGTCACTTCTTAAGCAACACGACGGAAAGTTTGTGCTGGTGTTTGGAGCTAAAAGCTAAAAGTAGCATGAATTCATTTAGAATACGCTGAGTCATGGATTCACCACCGAGCTAAGTTAGAACACAGTAACGTGTGTCAGGCACTATGTGAAGCTGTGATGAATATTTTTCTGACATTTTTCAGGAACAAACACTCAATGATCAACCTAATCATCAGCTCCAGTCTAATCCCTTGATCTGCATTCATGCACCAGGTGAAGTCTGAGCGTCGCTGCACTCGGACCGTGTTTCCAGTGATTATGCGTCTGCAGGGATCGAGCATTTCTCTCCCCCTCAGTCGCACAAGAGCCTTGTTTCTAATCTCCTTGAAGGTTAGTGCCACACTAAGCCCTCTCCCCTCTCCACACCACACAGATGAAGAAACATTACACGGCGTAGCGGCGCAGTTTAGCTCTGCATATTACCAGCGTAGATCATTTCATTTCAAATCCACCAGAGACCGAAATGACTTCACATGAATTCTCGGCACGCAGCCGCAAAACGAGGAAAAGTCCATCAGCAGAGTCTTAAAACCTGATGGAAGAAACGTCCATTCAGCTGACATACAGCAGCCGTGCTGCCGGTCCCGACACACTTCATTTCATTCAGGCCCTCACACGGCACATGTTTGACTTGAAGGAAATGAATCTCGAGTGCTGAATCCTAAACACCGTTAGCCCGATAACAGCGCGTGGTGCGGCTGCCCGGTTCCCCAGCATCAGGTGTCTTTCAGGTGGATCATTCGACATGACGGCTCATTAGGCTGCAGATCTTGCCAGGTGGGACTCAACGGGACTCGCTTACAGGCCTGACAGCAAACAATAAAGCTGCCACGCCGCAGAATAAACGCACGGGAGGTCGCGGCTACGCCGGGCAGACAAACATTCACACGAATGGAAAGGATGTGATGCTGTTTTATGTTGGTTCGAACATCTGGCAACGCTTTGGATGGCAGCCTGCAAACGAAGGTGTGAAAATGCTGCACACACGAGGAAAGCTGGTTACCCAACGGCACACACAGGGAGGAAACACAGGCTGTAATCTTACAACAAGCGTGCAATTAGGGGCAACCTAGAAGGAAATTACACCATAATTTCTGCTTAAATCACCCAACGAATACAAAGGAATGACACGGTGCAGAAGGCCTGCTTACGACTGCAGCTATGATATGAAAAGGAGTCAAACTTAATGCTCAGTAAAGAAATGTTCATTAAAACCTGACAAAAACATGATGTATTGACTTCCTGCGTCGCTGAGAGCTCGATGCTGTATTCCATTTGCTTTCTAATAAATCCCAATGGAGTGCGTTTCTGAGTGAAAGTAATTGTGTTCGTCTCCTTAATTGTTTAGGAGATGATGATTGATGATCAATGTTTCGTTACCTAGCAACAATAATGTACGCCATACTACAGGCAGTGGCTTCCAGTTCACCCCGTCTGGCCACCCAGTAAAGTTTTACTGCGTCCTTTATGCATATCTGTCCTCAGATAGACACCATAGGAGCTTTTTATTACCATATAATTGGCTGTAAATGCCATAGAGCACGTGTCTGTATTATACCGTTAAACTGGAGATGATTCTGTGTCGAAGAACTTTATGTGATTCGTGCAAAAAACCCAAACAGCTGTAGCTGCTTGTAACGTCAGGCAGCCTGAAGCCTTCGGCTGACGATAGACAAAGACAACAGTTTTCAGTGGGTTTGGTTTCTCGACACCAGCTCTCGTTGTTGCACAGATTTCATCATGCCCCCTGGTTGCATTATTCAGGCTGCAGCCCTCTCCGTCTCTGCCGGTGACATGCGGGAGCGCCAGAGAGGAGACGTGTGTGTGATTTGTTGGCTAATTCTATTTTCTGGCTTCCAAACTTCCAAACACGCAGTAATGAGCTGCTCAGGAGAAACCTCGCCCGCCTTCAAGGATGAGCGGTTTATTTAATTGCGCGACTAGGTGAAAGGTGAGAGATGGAATCGAGCTCTCATATCCTCAGTGATTTGGATCCTCATTTATTTTCTCTTCTGCATGACTCCCGATTGTACAAACAAAACTTGTGCAGCCAGGATAGCTTTCATTGTC